TGGCATAGAGCCAAAGGATTCTGGGTATTCAGTGGTTGCTCAATTTTCACATTAATACCACAAGGTTTTTTGTTCTTTATTTCTGCTTTCTTGATCAATTTTCCAAATTTGGAGAATTATCCACCCTCCTTGGGAGTAGTTACAGGGATTACTCCTTTCTTAACTCCACTTCCTTAGAATTACACCTCTGTCTTGCAAGAATGCAAACCAGACCACTGCATTCTCATTTAACCTTCTGAGCAAGAGATGAAATTATTTCCCCAATTTGTTTTCATCATCTGTAGGCTGATCACTGTCTCAGCAAAAACACAAACGAGACCACCTGCCTTTAACGACAGGATTGATTTTAATAACCTTGACCCTCACAGCAGGTTCATTCCGTGTTTTCACTTCTCAGTTTGTTGAAAATATCTCTTCTCATTAATGTGTTTTTTTTTTTTTTAATTTCTCAAGAAATAAATAGCCATTTCCCAATTTGTTTTACCCACATGCCAAATTTTTGATAGATAAAAAAAAAAAAATAAACTGTTTGTACATCATTCCAATTTGGGAAGTGGAGGACAATCCTGATGGCACCTTTTTTTTTTTTTAACTTCAATATTACCAGAGGAAATGTTTTCCATTCTCTCTCTTTCAGTTTATATTTCATTTTGAGCTTAATCATTTTTATGCTCAGAATTAACATTTAACCACCTCACAGCCTCAGTGTCACAATATAATGAAATAGATATTATTCTAAATCCAGAATTAAGTCTGTCAGTTAAGTGCCATACATGATACACACTTGGGCGATTGTGTCTCTTTCAATTCATGACTGACTAGGTAGATTTTCTTGCAGTAAGTTGCCATTTCTTTCTGTAGACTGGTTGCCAACCAAGTCTATAGGACTTAATCTGTCCTGCTATTCAACTCATAACTGGGAAGAGATGGATTCATACCTTTCCCAAGAGTATTTGTATGTAGGCGAATGAAATGCATTTAATTGGTATTTGAACTTTGCTTTCCGATTTCTCATTCCAAGTTGACAGCCATTACACAACAATGCACATTCATGAATTGAAAGTAGACTTGTGTTTTTCTGTGGTGTATTCATTCAGTGAAGTGTAATTTCTTGCTTTCATCAAACACTAAGATTTTCTTGTGATTAATGGAAACCTGGTTCTCTAAAGAAGTGTGAAAAAGTTCTCAGTTTGGTATGCTTCCCAAAATCTGACCAAATGAACAAATCTCAGATTTCTTTTTGGAAGGGTCTGTTGGTCAAGCATAAAACTTTCTGAGCCTGGCCATCAAATAAGTGCACAATTCCTCCAACCAATTGATTCCCAGAAGCTAATTTTATCAGTAATTTTGTTAATGATCAATCAAGCTTATTTATCCTATAGTGAAGAAAAACAACAAATATCCAAATATTTAGGACTTATGTCCATATCATGCTAAACACCAGTTCTCGTACAATCACTGACATTCAGCAACATTCAGCCTGCTAAGTACCTAGATGGGTGACCACATGGGAATACCAAGTGCTGTCAGCTTGGATGTGCTGGTAGTGTAACAGATAACAGCTCGGAATTGGAGAGTAGAGTTCCAATTCCAGTTGGGTTTGTTCTTTTCACTTATGATATGCAAATACCCTTGGAGAAAGGTGTAAATCCATTCCCTTCTCTATTCCCCCAGCTATGGGTTAATTAGTAGGACTTGTATCAGTAAATCATTACCTCCAAAAAAAAAAAAAAAAATTCTTACAAACTAAAAATATTTTTTTGCTTGAAATAAGCTGTAAAAAAAAAAAAAAAAAAAAGCAGCAAAGAAATGTAGTCATCTTGGATATGTATTTATACTGGCTTACAAATAAGTGTTATATGTTTGTACTACATTCTCAAGCACAGGCTGTTTAGATTAACTTAACATTTTGGTTGTGTGTGTGTACACTAAGCCTAGCATTTTTCTTTCATTCAGTTATTTATATAATTGTTTGTTTCTGAATATTACTATATTCTTGTAAATATTTACTGAAATATTGAACACTATTGCAACTTTTTGACTTTAAACTTGACTTTTTTTTCTCTTTTCTACAAATCTCTTCATTCTCTGCAGGTTTTCGACAATTATGCTGTTACTGTTATGATTGGTGGCGAGCCTTACACACTGGGACTGTTTGATACTGCAGGGCAGGAAGATTATGATAGACTCAGACCCCTCAGCTATCCACAGACAGATGTGTTTTTGGTTTGTTTTTCTGTAGTATCCCCATCTTCATTTGAAAATGTTAGAGAAAAGGTAAATGTCACTTGCTCTTTTTTTTTCTGTTCCCTTGTCATAACTTTGGCTATATTTTATCATGAAGTATATTTTAAGGATATTAGAAATTTATTATTTTTGTTAGTATTTTATCTATTTTAAAAATTTTTTTTGCTATACTTGAATTATACAATATTTTATTTTTACTTCATAATCTTGAAATTAGTGCTAACCTCAGAATTAAATCAATCAAAGATTAAATATCTTCTCAAAATAAAATACTCTTTATTTTGATTATTAAACTATAGAAAATATTTGTTATGTTCTTATCTGATGAAAAATATTTTTTTTTTTTTTTTTTCCTGTTACACCTGTCATTTTCATTCCACAAGTTTAAATGGGTATTATCATTTCATGTTTGAATTATGCTTGAAAAACAATCAGTGTTTAAGTTGGTTTGGAGTAATTTTTTTTGTCTTCTCCAATACTTCAGCCATGTATATTCTGACTTTGATGAATTCGGTACAGAGGTCAGGAGACAATTCCCAAAATAACACACTCCGCACAAGAGGTGACATATATAAGAGAAGAAGCACAGGTCTATTCAGAGCATGATTTTAACACTCCAAGGAAAGCAGGATTGTATATGGTCAAAGCTTTGTGATAAAACAAAAATGGAAAAATTAGTTTCCACCAACCTGCCTATATACTATTAGTCTAATCATGTTTTTCTTGACCACCTATTGATAAATATACAATCTTTAACTGTCATTAGCATATCAGTGATCAATTTCATTACTAATAACTTGTTTGAATATTGACCCCCCCCCCACAAAAAAAAAAACACGTTAGTAATCATAACTTGTGATAGTCTTAAAAATCAATTTCTGTTTTCTCTTTAAATTTTAATTATAAGTTTGTAAGATTTTCAGAAAGATCATTTCTCATTGCATGGTAATCTTTTCCTCTTTTCAGTGGGTACCAGAAATCACTCATCATTGCCAAAAAACCCCATTCCTACTGGTAGGAACCCAGATTGATTTGAGAGACGATGCTGGTACAATAGAGAGGTTGGCTAAGAACAAACAGAAGCCAATCTCTTATGAACAAGGAGAGAAACTTGCCAAGGAGCTTCGGGCTGTTAAATATGTGGAATGCTCAGCATTGACACAGGTTAGCATTTTGTTTTCTTGAAGAAAAAAATAAAATATCTATTAAAAGTAGTCATAAAAAACATAATGAAATAAATATTCCTAACTTTAAGATCAGTATTTCTCAACCGTTTTTGCCCAAATTATATGCATATATTATTGAAAATCTTCATTCTTTCCCATATTAGTACATATATGTTTACTTGGATCATTTTTCTTAATAGCAATAGAAAATGTTGATGGATTTTTGAACTTGAATACATGTACAGTAATTAGTTTTAATTCATAACTATTAAATAAATAAACTGAAGCATACTTCAATAAATAAAGAGTTCAATAAAATACCAAGGTAATGTAATTCAGTAATCAAAATTCTGTAAATAAAAAAAAAAAACCAAAAAAAAATCCAAGAATATGTAAAAGATCCCCTCTGAAAACCTAAATCCTCCGCAAGGGCCCCGGATTGAGAACTGCTGTTTTAGATATTGTAAAATAACTGGGTAGATGACTGAATGGATTAACCAATTATAGTGTGATTTGCTCAAATCTCTTCAGCAGATTATTTAAACTAGCATCATTTTTGAATGGTTGATCACTAGAACAAAAGTCTATATTCTAAGGGGAAGAACTCTTCTCAAATATTATGTAATGCTGCTTGTCCCTCTCTTAGTAATTTAGCATAACTATTAGGTCCTGTCAATACCTGATAAATAATGGACTATTCTGTTTTGATGTGTAGTTTCAATGAGAAAATAAAATAAAGGGAAGATAGAGGGGACTATAACGCTCATGTGTTTAAAGTCTGTTTCAGTGAAATGGAAACTAGTTGTCAATTTTAAATGTTTTCATTTGTACCCCCTTATTTATGAATACAATTGCAAAGTTGTTCAGCTCAAATAATTAACAACGTAATAGGGGAATTTTTACAGATATTTTATTGTCATAGAGCTTACCATAAGCTTATTCAATCATTAACTAACTTTAATTTCTTGATAAATTTTAATTAACTGAAAACTGAAATTCTCACAGGTATTTGTAGTTACTAATAGTTGATACGGTGTTGTGCTCGGTGATGTCAAATTCTTTTCCATATTGCTGATAACTTGAATGTTCCTATTTTTGACCAAATTTGGAAAATTATTTTATTTATTGTTGCTAATTATTCAAAGTGTCTGTGAAGTTATGTGAATAATGAAGTGTATAGACTTAGCCTGTCTCATTCGACTTCTGACATAGATGATACATTATAAATTCATATGTATCGTTCATATTTGTAAAATATGATAATAAATCTTAGAAAATTGTATGTATATTTTGCCTAATGTTATTTCTTTACAGAAAGGTTTGAAGAATGTTTTCGATGAAGCCATTCTTGCAGCCCTGGAACCCCCAGAACCCCCAAAGAAAAGGAGATGCATTATGTTTTGAGCAGATTCTAATTCAAATGGAGGACAGACTCCCTACAGCCACAACACACCACCAACTCTCTGCCACTAATGGTCCAATTGTGCAACCAATTTCTTTTTTTTTTTTTTTTTTAATGGCTCATTGATTGAAGCAGTTCTTAGCTTATACAGAGCAAGCTGTGGCAAGACCAAAATTTTTTTCTCCTCTGCCCTCGCAAAATTTTTTTTCTCAATTAAAAGAATTGAAGAAACGAAAAAAGGAAGAAAAGACACAAAAAAAATAAAAGGTACACATGACCTGAAATTTAAAAATGGACAATAGTTTAAAAAAAAAATTTTTTTAATTAAAAAGAAAAGAAAAATGACAAAAACAAAAGCCATTAATATCTGTACTGAATGAAAGAAAAAAAAAAAAATGACTAATTTGTTTATCAAGTTTGGGATTCAGGTTTCATTTGTCAACATCTCTGAATGGTCACTACCAGGAATTGGGTTTGAGGGGTTAGGGTAAAGGCTTTAAGTGTGGTAATCTTTTGTCCAAGGGAAAGAAATCAGTGCAATGCATTTGTAGTTTGAAGGGTTGGGTGGGGGTCACCACTTGGACAGTTTACCTGTTTTATATAAACATGTATATTTATCAACATGTAAATGTGTAATACGTGTGTGTGTAGTATATATATATATATATATATATATATATATGCACACACCTGTGTAAATGCACATGAAAATATAAAACTAAGATTTCCATCAAGGAAGTTTTGAGGAAAAAGCCTAATTACTCTTATGGATTAATAAAATGACTTTGAAAAAAATCATTTAAAGAAACTGTCATGGTGTAATTGTATGAAATAAGCACATACACATAAGTGTGTATATATTATGAAAGAATATATATGCAATTTATAGTGGTGTGCTTATTTTAAAAATGTACAGTTTTTATTTTTGCTTATTTGAGTGCTTGTTATTCAACTGTTTTGTCTTTTTTTTATTTCAAGATTTTTCTTTGCTTGCTTTTATTAATCATTAAAAAAATATTACAACTATAAAATTTAACTTTTTTTTTTTTTTTTTTATTTTTTTTTTTATGTGGTCATGTGACTTCATGCCTATGAAATAATGATGTAAAAATACTATAGAATCCAGACCTGTTCTTTGTGTCTTAATATTAACATTAAGTATTCAGGTTGGAAGAAGGTATGTCTTGAATTTTTAATAATCCATCTTCTGTCAAAATAGTTATGCTCAATAATTATCTCATAAAAATTTAATTTGGTAAACTTTTTAAAATACTCTGAAAAAGATGTTATCATAGTATTAATTCCTTGTAAACTTTATTAAGTTAGTATACTAGATTTTTTTTTTTTTTTTTATAGGGCCATGTCAGTACTTACAAATTACTTTTCCTCTCCTGTGATGACTGTTAGGAATTGATTGTTATGACTTGTTTTCAGCTGTACATGTGTTAAAGTATTTGTTGATAACTACTTCAAGCTCCATAGCTGTCCATTTTGTACTTCAGTAGATGGTACGTCGCTGCCTTGTCATAATACCAACATATTGGATTGCAATATAATAGTTGTACTGTGTATAGAGTGAAGGTTCTTTTTTTTTTTTTTTTTTCTGCTATCAAATTTGGTGATCTTATTAGTAACTATCAAATGCAGTAATTATTAGAAGTGAACAGCAAGGAGAACCACTGATTTCTCCCTTGAAAAGATATTTAGCCAAACTGATCATATTGTGTGTGAGATTTAATATGATTGGACATTATGTGTATTTGCATCTGCCTGTTGAAACAATCATATATATATATATATATATATATATATATATATATATATATATAAATCTGATGGATTTGATAAATTAGTCTGTGATATCTTGGTATCCTTGTGGAAAAAAAGACGTGTAAAGATGATAGTAAATCTGGTTGGTTTATGGTGTGTATATCTCCCTAATTGTGCACTATGGTGACAGGGATAACACCATAAAACCACTTGTTCCCAGTTCAAGATTTCCTGGCTTCCATACAACTATCACTGCTGATTTGTGTACCTCCTCCCCTCACTTTCCTGGAAATTAAACCTGAATAAATATATATATATATATATATATATAATATTTTATTTTATTTTTTTTTTTTTTTAATTAATGAGCTCTGGGAGACCTAAAAGGGGAACAAATGAAAATGCTCTAAGAATGCAAAAATGTAAAGGGGAAGAATTGTCCTCCTCCTTCTCCTCAGGTCATGTGTTGTTTTTCCTCCAATCAATATTTTTTATTTAAAATTTTTTTTAATTTTCTTTTTTTGCTAATTTTTTTTTTTTTTTTTTTTAATTTAAAACCATTTATATAAAATATAAATATATTAAACGTGAGTTTGAAGGCTGAATGCAGTTTTTTTTTTTTTTTTTTTTTTTTTTTTAATTTCATATTTAAAATATTGGCAAGAAAATCTAGGAAACTGTTTAGATTGATTGAGGCTGAGGAATCATATAATCAACTAAAATATACAATATTTCTTTTTATTTTAAACTATGAAAATGTCAGTATCTAAAAAAAAAAGAGAAAAAAAAGAAAACTGTCTGTATACACCCTTCTCTGCTCTTGATAATTTTATTATGTTGGTACGTCCTTAAATCGATTTCTTTATTTTAGGAAATTCATCTTAAAAATGGTTGGTATTGAAATGGTAATAAAATGTAATCAGTTTCTACCAAATGACCACTAATATCGTCAGTAATAATTATTAAAAAAAAAAAAAATTTTTTTAAATGGAAAAAATAAATTTCTACATGCTGCATTTGTTTCAGATTGTGCATTTTTGTCTTATTTTTTTTTTTTTTTTTATTTATTTTTTATTTTATTTTTTTTTTAAATGATGACAATTTCTACGTCCAACCAAGAATCCCTTTATATAAAAAAAAAAAATATCTGATGATTGGTCAGATTTGGGGAATTGGATAAGGCTGAAAAACTCTTGTACAATACTATTTCAATAAGCAAAATTTTAAGTCTGGTACAGATCATTCTGTCTCTCTCTTAGTTTAATTCTATGCAAAAATTGAATTATATATAATAATAATAATAATAATGTGAGATGCTGAAAAGTTCTAACCCACTTTATAAAATTTGACAAAACATCAATCTTTCTCTTATCCCAAGAGTTCCTTGTTGTGGCAGAGAACTTTTCAGCATTCCCATCTTACATAGTAACCTTATTGTTTGAGAGACAAAAAGTGGAATAAAGATTACCCTAAAAAATAGAGAAGTATATAAAGCTAAATAAAATTGTATTTTAAATGAAAAGGGGGTGGGGGGCTAATGAACCATCACCATCACAAAATATAAATGAAACAAAAATATTAACTCACTGCATGGGTTCACATTTGAAGTTGATTTTTCTTTTGTTTTAACTGTTTTTTTTTTTTTTTTTTTACACTTAAAATTTGAAAGTCTTACCTTGAACAATAAAAAATAATACAATGTATGATTTGAGAAATTTTCCTCTTTTTCTTTCTCTTTCTAACATTAACATTTCTTTGGATCTCTCTTTCTCTCTCTGCTTATTGTCCAACTATGAGAGAGAAAGAAAAAAAAAAAAAATACATGGTTAGCTATTTTTGGTAAATAATTATTTACCTTCCTTAACATAAATATCTTCAAAAGTTGAACAGAACAGTTTATGTATAAGTTAATGATGGGACGATTAATCAGAATTGAGAATCTGAAATATTAGAAATTTGGGGGGATATTGGCATCAGAATTTTTAATCAATTTTCAATTCTAAAAATGACTGGATTTTTTTGTTTTTGTTTAAAACTTAATTTTCCATTCCTGGTGCTAATGATAAAGATATAAATATTTATTGATTTTTAAACAATATAAATATTTTAAAAATATTTATTGATTTCAGTAAAACAAATCTATAGATCATAATAACACCTAAAGTCATATATGTTATGCCTTTAAATTCCTTGAACGTATGGCCGTAACATATTGTTGCAGTTTCTATAACAAGCCAGTTTTTTTTATTGGGCTTTGAATTCAGAATTGTCCATTTCTACATAGAGTATTATTGGTGCAATATGCATGTGTGGCTCTTATTTTTGAAGTGCATGCTGAAATTGAATTGTCACCCTTAAATTTGTTCCATTCATTAAAAAATGCCACTTATAAAATTTTAAGGGGATTGTATATTTAGAGGGCACCTTTTGTTAAAAATTAAGTTGGACAAAAAAAAAAAAAACCTTTTATTTTTTTATTTTACAATCAATAGAAAACCATTATTAGTTGAATCTTTACAAATTCTCCACATTAGAAAACTAGAAACATTTTTTTATCTAACAATGAAATTTTAACTAACATTATTTTGAGACCCCAATTTTGGCAAATGTATCCAATGCCAAACAAAAGATGTAAACATGACCAGCCAAAATATAACCTGAGAGGATACCGGAAAGCCATCTTGTAAATCACTTTTTCTCTTTAGAGAGTTCTGATCAAGGGACATAACTTGATTCGCATCTTGGGAGTGAGTTAACTCCCTTGGTTATAACGCCAGTCCTAACGAGTGACAGAACTAATTTTAACTCGGAACAGCAAAAGGGTAATTTGTAGTTCAAACTCTGTGCTCAGTTTCTAGTAAAATTTAGGTGTAAATGTACATGCTTAATTCGAAAATAATAAAGAAATTTTCACCAAATCTACTATTTTGGAGTTATCAACCATAAAAGTTTGAACTCATTCGCGTCGCGTCACGGTAGATGAAGTTGAAATTAATTCTGCATCTCGTCTTAACAGGCCATGTCACTTCTACTGAAAATTCTATATTCTCATAACCACTGCAACCATTTTTTAATTTTATTCTATCATGGTATGCTGGAGATGATGATTCTATCCATATTTTGTGCATTGAAAATCAGAAATGGTTTCCTAAGTTAATTGTTGCATTCCATAACACCTTAAACATCTAATTGGATATAAGAGAAATAGTCCATATAATATCATTAAATATATTAGATATCAAGAAAATGGTTTATATATATCATATTTACAAATTAGTTATTGTTGAGATTGACTCTGGATACTGAAACTGCAAATAGGAAAACATAATTCTCAGTCACAGGGTAAGCCCAGGTATTGATATTTAATAAGTTCATACTAAGTATGGTTTATGGCAGAATTTGGTTTTGCAGGTTGAACATCAATATTGTATTTTCTTGTCTATAATACAACTCCGTTTCTGAAGCTAAAAACTAGGAATAAATTACATCCTTGAATATAATACAAACTCATAGTACAGTTATTTCTATGTAAATTTTTTAAAAGTTGTACCATATTATCCATTAAAATTTCTATGTACCCACATAAATTGTAATATTTTGCAATTTAAAATTACAAGTACCAGTGTACACTATTTACATAGCACTATTTTGTATTATTTTATTTTTTCGAATCATTTGAGGTTTTTCAAATTGGATACTTTGGGTCAACAAAAGGAGGAATATGAAACAACAGCATGGGAATTATTGCCCATTTTGAGACTGGGGAAAAAATTTTTTTAAAAAAATGTAAATGATTTATACAATAGCTCAGTCTTTGTGGTAACATTAATGTTATTAAAACAAGACAAATCTTTTGTCTTCTCTTTAAATTTTTAATCAGTTTCCTGTCTTGGAAACAAAAGATGTTCAATTATGCTCATTCACAGAGAATAAATATTGCCGACATATCAAATACCTTTTGTAAATAATTATCAACACGTGTACTTGTGTTTCAGTATCTATTGTGCTAACAGTGTATTTGCAATCTTGCTGTTTCAAATAAGTTTTTCAGCTGAGTAATAATTTCTGAAAACGTTTATAAGACAGTTTCCCCCCTTTTGTTGTCTTTAATTTTCATTTAAAATTTCTCTTATTACATACAAGAAAAACACAGTATTTGAAATCATAGCTTTTGACATTAGGCATCAAGTATGGATTAAACTCACTGCCTGTATTTATTTTTATTTATTTATTTTATTTTTATTTTTTTATTTTTTTTCATTTCACCCAAAGCAAGGCAATAAAGTCACTAGGATGCAAGAGGTTACTGAGTGTGAGAGAATATAAGAAAAACTACCATTAAGGAGAGAGGGGAAATAAAAGAACTAAGAAAATGATGATTGACATTGCATTTAACTTTTTGAAAATCAAAGTTGACAGGGACGCAATAAGCCAGAAGAGAATTCCACAAACGAGAAGTGCTATAGAAGAAACTGCATAGAAGTTTTGGTTATCTCTAGCAATTTCATCTGTAAATAAATGAGATGTTTCTGCTAATCTAGTACTGCTCTTAAATTCATAAAGTCTAGGTACCAGGAAGGCTCATCAGAACAATTACCATGAAATTATTTATATGAAAGGCACAGGGAAGCTATGTTATGGCAGTGGGAAAGTGGCTGAAGCCAGGATGCCTTGGCAATGCCTGAATAAAATATTTCTAATCAATGCAGAGTTTTTATAAGGGTAAGACACTTAACTACCATTGATGCTTAAGAAAAGCAGTAACAATTTTACTGCCCACTTGAACAGGAAATTACTTATCTCTACCCTTCTACTGCCATTATACATCCTCATATGTATTATTGTCTCGATAATTAAACCACCTCCAATTACCTCAGTGTCTTGTTCTATAATCTTCACACAAACTTCCCAAGCAAAATTAATATTATAATAGTAATGTTTTGGGACTTCCTATCCTGAGTTCCCTTACCACAAATTCTTGGGGGTACTTCCTTTCCCAGTAAGCTTCAGTATCTGTTCTAGTGTCACAAAGCAGCAAACCAATGACTGTACGTCATAAACTCTCCTCTTCTCTCATATGTTTTCTCTCTTCACTTCTCTTCTCTCATATCAGATATAATAAAATTAAATTTCAAAATGAAAAAATGGTTTGCAAAAATTAAAAGTTAAATTACTAATTTTAAAATTATGGTTTGTTTTCACCAAATTGGTAATAATACAAGGACAGTGAGATAAAAGTGTTGGTTGGATGCAGAGGTGAACAAAAACTCGGAGAGTTGAATTAAAGGGAGATTACTGAGATTTGGAAGAGTCATGGCATGTGGAAGTAGAACAATCTACCCTCGGTGGACAATATAAAGGGTCCAGTTCAAAACTCCAGTCACCAGAAGAAGGCTGGCGTGTACAATGGCTGAAACGTGAATGTGGCAACAACAATCAGGACAACAGTTCAAACAATGTAAATAGTGTTAATTATGATACTTCATCTCAGAAATATAGATATCAGTTAAAATTTTGGGATACATTTATATGATAAATGTGATTTTAAACTTGTATTTGTTTTTATTAAAAAAAAAAAAAAAAAATTGTTTTTTGTAATGTCTGGTTTTATTAAGCAAATATATCCCATATGTCTTACATTATTTAATGCAATAATATAGGCTACTTGTCATTCTATAACCTTCGTCTTTCTCATTCATCGTCTTTCCTCCACTTTTTCTTTTTTTCCTTTCTTCTTCTTTTTTTCCTTTCTTCTTCTTTTTTTTCCTTTCTTCTTTTTTTTTTCCTTTCTTCTTCTTTTTTTCCTTTCTTCTCCTTCTTTTTCCTTTCTTCTTCTTTTTTTCCTTTCTTCTTCCTTCTTTTTTCCTTTCTTCTTCCTTCTTTTTTCCTTCTTTTTTCCTTTCTTTTTAACTTAAACATGTAGCACTTTTTTTATCCTAGAAATCATTTTTGCTTAAACATTGTTTTCAATTTTCACATAGATACTTAATAATGGACTGCCAGTTGTATATTGGATTGATGCTTGGAGAAACTCAAATCGTCAGAATTTCTTCTATTGGTGTATTTGAAACTATTGTCAAAGTGGTGCAAACTTGTATATAAAGTCTAGGTTAAAGTTTCTTGGTTGTGAGCTGAACCACTCAAAAACTCTTGTTCAAGATCTTATAATAATTCTCTGCATTTATCTTAAACAGTCTCCATCTTAGATTGGGTCTGTAATTTTACTGCCTATAATACTAGGCCAAAACATTATTCTGTCTCCCTACCATTGTCTTCGAAGACAAGTTGCTTGATTATTTTCAGGAGGGACCCAGCCTGTGGCTCTAAATTCTAACACATCAGTTTTCACATATTGCTCAATTTAGATATTTTGTAATGCTTTTTTTAAGTGGATATTTGCTTGCATTCATATTTTCAGCATTTTAATATTCTATAATTTTTCGTTTTGTTTTTATTCACATCATTTAAGTCAATAACTCCTAGTTTTCAACAAGAGCAGGTTTTTTTTTTGTCTGTCTGTCTTTTTTTTTTCCTGAAATTTTTAGTATTTTAATTAAAACAAAAAAGAAGCCTTGATCTTGTGTAAATTCTACTTGAAATCTTTTTTTTTTTTTTGTTTTTTTTTTTATATATATAAAATTCATATTTTATTTATCATTTTGTTCTAAAAACAATAGTTCTTTTAATAAAACCTATACTCTAAATTTAAAAGAAAAAAAAAACAAACCAGCTTTTTGTTTAAAAGATGGATTTCTGAAATGGTTTTCATGCATAATATTGCATTCCAGAAGAAATCATTTTTCTTTTCATTTGGGTTCAGTGTTTTAGACTTTCATTTTTTTTTTTTTTTTTTTTTCAATATAATGAAACTAACAATGTTTATGATTTCTATTTTTTGCTTTATTGATAACCAACACTAGCTATCATTTTTGGCATTTTGATTGCTTTTAATGATATCAGCACTACTAAAATAGACTGGTCCACTCCTATATTTTCTTTTTAAAAAAAAGTGCAAATGCATTCAGAATTACAAAATATAGATTTGTTAGAGGATCATGTTTATAATATTGATACAGTATAAAATCGATAACTGACATTTACAAAGTTATTGGCTTCAGGCTAAGTCACTTAACTGATATTTATAAATGTTAATTTTGAAAATGTGTTGGCATCATTGATCTCTGCATATTTAAAAAAATTTTTAACTGTTTAATTCTTTTTTTCTGCTATCACATGCGGTTCATAATTATTTATCTTTGAATTAAGAACAAGTAGACACATGATTTTATTAATTTATATAAATTTTTGTTCTTTACTTAAAAATGTATATATCTGTGTGTATGTGTATATAGGTGTCCATAAAGTTCGTGTGCACTTTAAAAAATTTATAACTTTATTTGTATTTGTGATAGAAATAATTGGTAAAAAAGATTAGAAAGAAGTAAATCTATATTTTTTAAGGTTTTATTGAAATTTTATTTAAGTTTCCACATGTCCTCCATCATTAGCAATACAAAGGGTAATACGATTTTGCAGTTCATGGAAAACATTTGCCAACTGATTAACAGTAATGCCTGAAATCACATTAGTTATTTCAGCTATACTTAAAACTAGGTACATTAAACTTTATAACATTTTTTACAGATTATTTCTATCGCAAATACAAATAAAGTTATAAATTTTTTAAAGTGCACACGAACTTTATGGACATCTTTTTTATATATATATATATATATATATATATATATATATATATATATATATATAGATCTGACAGTATGAAAAAAATATGAAAAAACAAAAATCTGAATATGCAAGTATGCTGTTTTACTTGCATATTCGGATTTTTTTTTCCATATTTTATATATATATATATATATATATATATAAAATTGTTGATCCCACAAAATGTTTAATATCTAAAAACAAGACACTAAACTGAGTTTCTTTTTAGCCTTTTGACATCATTTGTTGTAAGAATCACTTTGAATTATTCAGTTCAAAAGAGAACAGGTTAAAATAGTTTTGTGTCAGTACCATTGTCTTCTCAACTGAGCAATGGTGAGAGGAAAAAGATCATCCAGGCCTTCAGTAATGGTACTAACATTCATACTCTGGCTTCCATCTTCAAAGACCATTCAAGAACCATCAAGAGAATGGTGAATAAGTTTAAAAAAAAAAAAGAGGGAACAGAAAGAGGGATCATCATTTCAAATTAGAGCTAAAGAGATCGACTAGAAAAGATCCAATTCAGTCCATAAACATTTGGCACATGAAAGAGGAGTTTCAGCTATGACAGTTCAAAGATCAGTGAAAAAGACTGAAAAATGAAATCATACATGAAAATGTGTGAAGCACCTTGTTACTCCAGGATACGAAGTTAGAGAGCAAAGATCATCTTGAGTAAGTTGGAAAATGATCTTGAAATTTTCATTTTATATTTGAACTTTATTTCAATACGTTCCAATCCTTAGATATGATTAATTAATGATGAACATGTCATTTTTGTTTCTAATCGATTTCATCATGATTCTTTTGTTAAGCTAGGAGAGTAATTATACATTTTTTTATTGCTTAATGTACAGTCCAATAGTGTTATCTTACTGGAATTTTCCGAGGTTTTTATATCTTTAATTATTCCTAAAATACAACAGCTTAAAGCTGGCAATTGAACAATTCTGTTGCTACACCTGCTGTGTGTGTGTGTGTGTGTGTGTATATATATATATATATATATATATACACACACACACACACACACACACACTTTCCTTTACATTTGGAATTACGATACCTTTAGGTCATTTACTAAAGATATCGTAATTCCAATTGTAAAGAAAATTTGCTCTGTTTATTGAAATTAAACATAGAGCACTCATATATATATATATATATATATATATTTCACATGTGCACAGCAAAATGAGAACAAATCTTTCTCTGTAGATGAAATAAAGGTATTAGTTTGAAATTTCCTGAAGGTTATCTGAATCAGCAAAACCTGATGAAGAGAATAATGGCTGAAACATTGATTATAACATTGGAGCTGATAATCCACATGTAAATAATAACTCTTCCCATAAATTCAGACAGAAATGCCTTTGTCAGTTATCCAAAGCAACTTGCTATTGAAGCACAAGGCTAGCTGGCTTTTCAACATCACATCCAGTTTTGCTACATTAATGTTCTGTGCATCGTTCACTGGACACAGGTGGCATACAATTACAAACCCATTTGACTCCAATTGCCAAGGAACTTTTGTCAACCCACATATCAATTTCTCCACCCTCCAATATACGAATATATTTTGGATAGTGTTATTTTGTTATATTCTTTTTGATATTATGTTTTTAAAGTGGACTGTCTTTTATTTTGTTGTCTCAACCTTTTGTAAATGTAGCAGACTTGTGTTTTAGTAATCATGATACGATGCAGAACAATCCACACACAGGGAAATGGTCTACAACTTTCCCAGAGATTAAAACCACAGCTTTTTCTACCTTAAATGGAGCTGCATGTGAATTGGAAAATCCCAAAAGGTCTTGGAATTTGTTGAATACAGCCTCTTACTCTTCAAATATATTAGTGAAGTTTGCAGGAAATCAAACCAATGTATTGATCTGATAAAAGAGATCTTACACAAAATCTATGATTTGTACACAGAAATTGTATGTAGTTTATTAGAAGACTCTACTTCTCTTTGGAGTTTATCCCATAAAGACATAAATAAATTGTAATCTGTTCAGAGAAGATGCTTGATGTTTTATTATTAAAGGGTTATTTTATCAACATTAGCTGAATGGAGGAATCAAAGAGATTGGAAAGAAATATTGAAATATTTATCAGGAAGTTATGTTACTATTATTATTATTTTTCTTGCCGGAATATATCTTACACATTTATAAGTCTACCATTCATTTATTTACACTATTCAGACTATTCTTCTCATCTTTGTCGCCATATTTATTACAACGTTTCGGCCATTGTACGCTCTGGCCTTCTTCAGGTGGTTGGAATATTGAACTGAACCCATATGGCACAGTGGATAAAGGCGTTGGTTAGATCCAGTGACAGGACCCAAAGAGTGTGAGTTCAATACCCGGTTAAGGCAGTGGAGAACTTTCAGAGGGAAATTAACAGGAGATAACTGACATCCATTAAACATGGCACGTGGAACTAAAACAGTCTATCCCAGTGAGCGAAAAAAAGGGTTCAGTTCAACATTCCAACCACCTGAAGAAGCTGGGAGTGTACAACGGCCAAAACGTTGTAATAAATATGGTGACATATATGAGGACAATAGTCTGAATAATGTAAATAATACCTCATCTCAGAAATATAGACAAATATAGTTATTTATTCATCCAATATTTCTACCATATCTAGTTGTGCTCTTCTGCTGTATATTTAGAGATTCTTGAGAAAATCCAGAAAAGAATTTACAATGCTATTGGTCCTGTTGTGGGAGCTGGTTTTCTCAGGAGCATTTATGAGACTAGTTGATTTATGGGGGTGCAAAAAGTGTTTGGTTGTTGAGACGAACTCATATAAGATAGTGGCAGTGAATACTAATTAGTTCTGGTGCTGTCTAGAATAAAGCAATCTTAACTCAATGTACAATGATAAAGCAAAACATTTAAACAAGTGGATTGAAATTGAAAAAGAAGATAATCTGGTTATCAACAGATAACAATTAATTTGGATATTTTATACATCATGCAGTGAATATAATAAGACCCTTGACATGTACACATTTAGGTATGTCTAAAAAAGTCCATGATGATGGAAAGGTACAAAGATACGTGTTGAGATGTGTTTAATAAAACCACTTAAAAGCTCATTGTACATGCTCCATAAGAGAAGCGGGAAATGTTTCAGTGGATTAGTAAATCAGTTGAGTTGACAACACAGAATC